TTTTTTTCTATTTTTCACACAAGCACGCTGCCAAACAGGGCCAGGATTTTAAAATTACTTTTTTTAATTTTACACTAGTTTAGAGGGTTGGCGAGACCAAAGTACGTATAAGCACTGTAGTTATCATTTGTTTTCATGCATTTTTTTTATTAAATTTATTTAATGAAAATGAAGAGAACACTGTGTCTTCGACCAAAAAATAGTAGGCTTCAAAAAAGAAGCATTTTTAAAAATTAATTTCCAGCTTTTTTTGTATTCAAGAAAAGTTTGGAAAGTATTCTTTCCACACTTGCTTTGGCGATTGGATTGAAAAGTACAGCTTAAACTATTTGTTTCAAATGAGTAAATGCTGATCCTTCCTCGTCCCCTTTTATAAAAGAAATTTCCTTACAAAAAAAATAGAAAAAAGCGAAATTTTAATTCACTAGTTCAAATCTGAAATGTCAAAAAAACTATGATTTGTACTAGGAGGTAATTTAAACAACTACAGGCTTGTCTAAAAAAATTTTAATTTACAGTTAAAGCTGTGAAGCTGACAACATTGCTCTGAACCCATGCCACACTCCAGTTGTTCTCTAAGACTTGCTGAAATTCGACTACTTCTTCGGTGCACAGTACGTACGTAAGCGAAAATGTGGCTAACCTCTCGCATATGTGGTGGTGTTGAAGAGTGCTTTGAGAGAGCAGGGGGTCTACTCTGTATTGCGTTTCGAAACTCAATGCGACTCCGTCTTATATAAACTCATAGAGCCAAGTACTCGACATTCAAATGATTTGCTTTTCAAATCGCAATACAGTGTAGACCCCCAGGTGTGAGAGTCGCGTGGCAAAGACGCTGACGTCTGGCCCTCGATATGTTCGTATGCGCACATCCAAAATACTGGAGGCATGCCTACTATCTGTTACAACTCGACCAACTGGGTTGCTCGCTTGCTAATGCTTAGTACTGCATACTACCATGTTTGGGGCCCCCAGCGAAGTCTATCAACCTTAGTCTGTTATAGTATGCGTTCCGCCGTGGAGGATGAATTTTCCGACGGATGGGCCCAAGATCTCTTCATTGTCCATGCTGGCATTGAAATTGGCGAGCACAATTTCGTGAAGAGGGCAGCACTCGAAGAGATGCTCCAGGCGTCAAAGATGTGATCTTTGCGCGTGGTCTCATCCTTGGTTTCCACCGGGCTGGGGCTACAATAGAGTGAGACCTTGAAATACCTTTTGCTTTGGTGCGGATTGTGGCAAGACATTCGCCCAGGTAGCTTGATATATCTTTTAAATTTTTAAATTATTTACTTAAAAAAAAATCAAGCAGCTGTACATATCTTCATACTAATACATATTACATTTTGGTGACTTCAACAGTTATAAATTATATACATATATATGTACTAATGAACATTTATGCCTATAAGCTTACATATGAACATTAGACTGCATCACTCCCCATACAAAAAAAAATCGGTACTATTTTTCCATTGGAATTATAGAATCTATTATATTTTAAGACGTCCACCAAAATATTTCGAAAAAATATTAAGATTTAAGTGAGCTGGACCAATTTCAAAATACCTCCAAAAATGGAGTTTTTTATGAATAAATTTAGTTTCTTAAAATTTTTTTTTATAAATCCCCTCAAATGACAAAACGGTTTAAGCATAAAAAATTTGCATAAAAATATTTTTAAAAAATTAAAAAAAAAATCGCAATGATGAGATTTTTGATGCTGTTTTTTAACTTTTTTCAAAGATTGGTATAAGAAAAACTTGAATAACTGAGCCCAAACTCTTCTGATTTAGACTTACGAGGTGTCGGTGGAAAGGTATTTTCTCACCCTTTTTATTTCTTTGCTAATAAACTCATTCAAAGGATGAAAGAGAAAGGTAGGATCTACGAACGTCATTCAAAGTTGAATTAAGAGGTGTTGGTATATGAAAAAAAAAAAATGGGACACGAATGATTTTTTTTGGACAGAAATAAAATCAATGTGAAAATACCTTTATACTGAGATCCCATAAGTCTAAATCAGAATAGTTTTGGCCCAGTTATTAAAGTTTTTCGTAAATCAATCTTTGAAAAAAGTAAAAAACAGCATAAAAAATGTCATTCTTACGATTCCGTTGAAAAGATTTTTAAATATTTTTATGCAGATTTTTTTAAGCTTAATCTGATTTGTCATCTGAGGGGACTTTTTTCAAAAAGTTCTTTACGAAACTATTTTTATTCATAAAAAACTCTATTTTTGGAGGTATTTTCAAATCGGTCCAGCTCACTTAAATCTTAATATTATTACCAAATAATTTTGGTGAAAGTCTTAGAATATAACAAATTTTATAATCCCAGCGGAAAAACCGCAACTTTTTTTGGTGATGCAGTCTAATGAACATATA